TGGTTTACATAGCACAGCCACCATACTGAGCTTGCTTTAAGTCACTCCAAATGAAGGTTGTTGGCATACAGTAAACCAGCACTAAAGCAGTTCACAAGAAAGTTAAATTTTATATGCCGGCACAATGATCCACTATACTCTGCTCTATATGAATGAACTAAGATACAACAACAGCGGTCATGTGCAGCAACTTAAACCAGGCTCAACAAGCATAACAAATATATTCTTCATACATACTATCATCACAACAAATGGCAATGAGAAAGTCAGATTAGGATCTGGGAGACCCAGGTTTAAATACCTTCTCTGCCATGGAAGCTTGCAGGATGACCTTGGGCCAATCACTCCCTCAGCCTAACCTACCTCACTGGGTTGTTGTGAGGATAAAATGGAGGCTAGGAGAATGTTGTACGCCACTCTGTCTCCCTATTGGGGGGAAAGATGGAGAATAAATGAAGTAAATAAATAACCTCACTGCTTTAATGTTTTGTCTGTCACTTAGTTGGCCTAATCTCCAAAGAGGTTACTGGTCCAGAAAATCTGCCATCAGATGAAATATTAGTGCAGGAGGAAAGCTGAAACAAAAATATAAGAAGGAAATAAAATAGAGGCCACATAGGAAATCACAGCAAAGGGAAGAATAAGGCAGCAAGTTCTGCAAGGCTATGCTGATACAGCTAGAACAGCAAATAAGATGTAGAAAGGCAGAAAAGTTAGCAAGGACATCTGAAAGCCTACAATCACAATGTACCAAATCCTGGTTAATTTCATAAAAGTGACTCAAGCAGCTATGTTGGAAGAAATACACTGCTATCCTAAAAACATTTGCCTGGGAATAAGAACCACTGAAATAAATGACTTCCGGTTAGTGGATCAGCGATGGCGGTTGTTTTCCCCGGACCTCGGGGGAGCGACTCACACACCAGCGGTATAGAGGGTGCTACCTCAAGCAGCACCCACACGGAGCCTTTGTGATAGGTTCCAGGCCATAGGGCTTTTGAGACGCAGCCTCTTCGAAGGCTAAATGCTGGACAATTGAGGCTTCCCTCCGCCCTGATGGTCCTGCCGCTGTGTGATCCTCGGGCACAAGCTGATTCGACTGGGACAAGCGCTGGAGATCGAGCGGGATATTGATTACTGTGAGCGAGGTCAGAGAAATGACCGACAAAAATAAGCAGAATATTTTAAAAGTAAACTCCCCCCCCCGTGGGGAAAGCGGAGCGCAAAGAGAGAAACCTCTTATGCGAACGGACAGATAAGCGTAACAAAGGGGGTGGGGGGGAAACAAGCAGCGATTTTGTTTTGAGAGACTTACTTGAGCACTGACATCAAGGTGATGATTTTTCGAGTCCGCAAGAAGCGACTTGGAATTGTAAACAATCGTATAAAATGGTGGCCTCGCAAAGAAAGTTTAAAGCAAAACCAGCGGGTAGTCAAAGCCCAAAACCGGAAGAGGGAGCAGACATCATGAAAATGTTAGCGGATATGCTCAAGCCGGTGATGGAGCAACTCGATGGTATTAACCAGCAACTGACTTCACTGAATCAAAACTTCGCATCCCAGCAGCTCCAACTGGCAGAAACGGCAAAGAAGGTGGAGCATATGACTGAGAGAATTAAAGAGATAGACACCACAAACAAGAAAATGAAGAAAAGAATGGGGAAGTTGAAGCAAAACAAAACTTCCAAGAAAACCGTTTGTTACAGCTACAAATGGAAAAAGCCAACATGATTCTCAGATTCCAAGGAGTTCCTGAATCGACGGAAGAGGATCTGAGGAAGTTGCTCAGCGAGATCATTGCTCCAGCAATAGGCTCAACAGCGGATGAAGTAGTTAAAGAGATGGAGACTTCTTATAGGGCATACTCCAATTATATTTTTTAAAAAATAGCCTGCCTGGAGAAATTGTGATCAGACTCTCAAAAAGACAGACCAGAGATGCTATTTTAAAAGCGACCTCAGCAACTCCACTGAAAATGGGAAAATTAAAACTTTAAAAGACATTCCATTTGAAATTCGCCAAAACAGGAAAAGCTATAAGGACTTAATTTCTTTTCTTCAAACCAATGAAATTTCGTACAGGTGGGCGATCCCAGAGGGTGTCGTCTTTAAAATCAACGACAAAAGAGAAAAGATTAACTCCATTTTTAAAGCCAAAGAATTTTTGAGACGCCAGTTGGGATTGGAGGAAGAATCCAAAGATGAAGAATCGAAATGACTCCGCTACCTATGGAACGGATGAGGACTCTGCTGTAGAAACGGGTGCAGGCGCAATGAAAGTTACATATGATTTCAGAGACAGAAAACCAAAGTAAAGGCAGAAGGACTCTGAAAATTGCCTTTTGAAGCAAATAACAAGATTCTCTCACAACAACTAACACTGAAGCCGAGACAAACAAGAACTCTACAAGTATATTGTTGTACTAACACTTTTCTTAATAACACTTAGATTAACATGGATATGATCTCCTCCTCTTGGGTTTTTAGTGTAGTGGTTATCTATCCTTTATCCTTAGATGTAATCCCCTTCCCTTATATTTTCTTTGTAGTTTTGTAGTCTTATAAAAAAATATCCCTCCGGGATAACTCCTCTGTATTGTGTGTGTAAATGCACAGCTCACAGTGAAGAGGGCAGTCTACTGGAACAATCAATATAGCACAGGTGTAGTTCACAGACCACTTTTGCAGCATCTTCTGCCACATCTTCATCTGTCCCAGCGGGGGCTTCTGGGGATACTGTCCTACTAACGTGTATTCTCTGTTGTGGTTCCCATCTTGTTGGAAGGGCCTGCCTTAGATCAGGAAGGGTCCTGCTTCTGTCTTTAAGCGAACAGAATTTTTCAGGGTGGCATTGTCATAAAAATAGGACCACGTTATAATAGAATGCTTCAGGAAGGCACTTTTTGTGAAGAATGAGATCGTGAACCAGACCACACTATACAGTAGGCATTATTTGTTTGCTGCAGGCATTATCTTGGCCATACCACATTGTCTTCTACTTATGTAACATCATTTTCTGCATTAACATGTCACATCTAATATTTTTCGCTTTGTCTCACATTTATATAATCCTAGTCCGCTTATGCTGTTTATTAAATGTCCCATTCTGTAGACTGCACAGACTTATACTGTGTAATCTGCTTGACTCTCAGTGAGAAATGTGGACTATAAATAAAGTTAAATAAATTAATGGATACTGGAGCTTATGGATGTTACTGTTTTTATTTACATTATTTATAGTCCACCTTTAATTAATGGCTCATTGCTGAGGTAAGCAGATTTTTCCTTGTGACAAAAGTCATCCAAATCAGCCCTCTGAGTGTGCAGCCAACAAAACAGAAGCAGTTGTTCTCATATATGTTCTGCACACAAGTAATGAACAAGAATAACACCCTTCTGGTTTCCTTAATTTGACTCAGTTCACATATTTAGCACATAGCTTGACTTTTCTGCATCAATTCACTTTTTCTTCCCTTTAATTTCAGCATCAAATGAAGAGACACAAGGAGTTTACTAGCTTGGGGGGCATGGCCATACAGGAGGGTCAGTAAGACCAATCATGTCCCACCGTTGAAGGTTTTGTAAGAATTTGCTATAAACCTACAGATAACACTTACATTGCCCGATAATGATCAGTTGCAATGCATTTTTCCACTATAGTAACTGATGACGTCAGTTATCAAAGAATAAACAGATGTTACTAAATCTCCTACAGGATACTACCCCCAAGGTGACTTCCCTCTCCAAATAGGAATCGTTTCCCTTACAAATGTATAAGCAAATGAGTGCAGCACATTCTAACCGTATTTCCATTACGTAGGTAGGCAAGCAGGTGCCAAAAGTCAACAAAACTAGTTTACCTGCTGCATGGCTTAAACAATGGGCAAGCGAACACAATCAGGTCTTTATTATTACTAAAGTCTGCAGTCTTGTATACCACAACTGAAAACAAGCTTGGGATTCCCATTCTGAATTCTGGTTCTCATTTCTTGTATACTAAGGGGAAGAGCAAGAAACAGGCAAAATGTGTGTCTGATCACAAGAGAAGGCAAAAGGGATCTTTAAAACAGGCTATACCTAAAAACAGAAACTTCAGCACGTGTGCCTGAGCAGCCACTGCCCGTCCATCACGCCGTGCTAGAGACCCCTCCTCTCAAGCCAGCTCTTCGGCCTGGCTGAAGGCAAGTGAGGCCACCGCGCGTGGTTCTCCTGACCATAAATAGCTGGGCTCGTCCCTGCTCGTTCAATCTTGAGATTCGTTGCATCAGGCAAGCGCTCCGCCCCCTCCCACGAGCAAAATGTGCCTTCCGCGAGGAGACAAGGTAGAGCGGGGGAGTGCCGGCCAGATTGCAGAAAGACGGGCGAGGATAACGGAGCGCAGAACGGGGCGGCTGTGTTTTGAGGGATGACTCATTGTATAGAAAGCACCATCTGCCTTCCCCTTGGGAACGCAAAAAAAGCGCCATGTAAGGCAAGGCGGAATTAGATCGGCGCCAGTCCCGCAGTTGGGAAGGGGGGGGGGGGAGGGGTTGGGGGGGGGAACAGGGGAGGAAGGTGGGGGGGGGGGGGG